TCAGTTTTATCAGTTTTTTCCTTACCAGTAAGCTACAATTCTGCTGCTCTTCCTCACTCACAATTCAGCTCATTTCCCGACCAATTTATTCATTTACCCATTTTCTTCATCTCATTTGTAGATACTCTGCGTAGATAAATTATTAATATTGTAGATAAATTATCAATATTACTGCTATAGATTAATATCTATACATTGTGGTTGCTAACAAATAAAATTGCTTCGTATTTTACATACTGCAATAACAAGTGGAAATGAATAGTTTCATCGATAAGTTGCAGACTGATAGGGTACAATTGCATGAGGAAATGTCAGGCTTTATGTCACAATGCCGTGTACGTCTTGTTCACATCCTGAATTTGTTTCTTCTTGATACCAGAATCAACCTTCAAGTTTTCCTTTTGATGTTTCTATATATATATGAGAGCTGGATTGGTATAATACGCAGACTAACATACAAGACACCAAACATATCGGCCTAAGTTTCTCAAAGTTTGCACTATTGTTCTTAACTTCCATCTTAATCATCTTATATAATTGCTTAAAAAAAAAACATAGTTGGGGAACAATTGTAAAAAATGAACACCCCTTTGCATTACATTCTTCTTTCTCCATTGCCGTTTTCTAATATGAAGGGAAGAAATCCGTGCAATTTGCAACCCTAAGCCGTGTATCGTGAGAAAAATAAGCCGAGTGTAAAAATGAGCTAGGCTTATCAGCTATGGAAAGTGATGTAAAATGATCATGCTCTTTGTGATCTAAGTCCATTTGAACATCGAAAGGAAAGTCTCTCAATAGCAAGAAACATACTCTCCCAATTTATGTAGCAGAATTCTCATGAAGCTAACAGATGTAGTGAAATGGGAAGTGCTAATAGACTTTTGCTGGAATTATATTATTTCATGGATGTCATCACTGAGATCTATCAAAAGAAAAGTGAATCGAAGAAACAATTCGTTGCTGTGTGACATTTTTTGCTCAACTGGAAGACTCTCATATTAATCCAAATTCGATCTCCTAGTTCTGAGATTCGTTACTGCAAGATTTATCTAACAGAATTCTCAAGAAAGCTTAACAGATATAATGTCAAATGACATGACAATTTACAAAAAAACCAATATGAGTCTTATAGCGTGTAGAAATTTTGATATAATGATAAAGTAATGAAATAAATTCACGTATGATGAATTCCTATTTGCTTTTGGTCTATTCCTTTCCTAGTAATACCAAAGTAAAACAATATTGTTCGTGTTTGATTCATCTAATATTATAAACATATCTTCATCTTTACATACTTTACAGTTCATTTACATCCTTTAAACTATATTACCTTCGTCGAGTGTTGACTAAACATTCCACGTAAAATAGCTCATATTTCTCAATAATTACGAAATTCTTTTCTTTGAAGCCCTCTCAAAGTGACATTTTCAAAAATAATTTTAAAAAAATTTCTTTTTTCTCTAATTTGATAGGAACTACTTTGAGAAAGAGATTTATTTATGAAACTTGCTTGGTAAATCAGTTTAAAAGTATCCATAGTACAATTGATTCAGCGAGCTTCTTTATTTATTCCTGTTACAAAAAAACATACACTTACTTAAACTTATTGACTAACCATGCTGTGCTCACATAATTTAAGCACTTGAATATTTTTTTACATAACAAACTTCAAGTATGGTTAATTGAAAACTAGATGAAAGTGCGTATTTTCACTAATCAAAGCTCAAAAACGTGAATAAATAAAACGAATAATTTAGTGCACAATTCACACAATGTACATTTACAATTCCTTATAATATTTAAAGGTCATGAAATAACATCTCAAAGTCAAATGATAATCAAGTGTGAACTAAAAAGCAGACAATATTTTAGTGATTAACTTTACTGCATATTGTTTCAGTCCCAAATGTATACATCAGAGGTTCGCAGAATACATTTAAGTAGTACTAGGAGAGACGTCATTCTACAAAGCAACAATAGGATCTTGCAGTATTTGATGTTTCGTAACTCGTCGTGTCATTAGCACTTCTTATTCTTCCCTTTCAAAAGTGGAAAATTGCAACTCCTTTCCATTGCTAATTAAAAACGGATTTATAATTTATTTATCATTCTTATGTCACTTTACTCTTACTATTTTCTGCACTTTCTTTCTATATAGAAGTATTGGGGAAATACTATAACCTTTTGGAACAGTATAACTTTGGAAAGGCTTTGTTACACAGTTATGGAATAGGTTTAGTGATTTGTTAATAAATTTATTTGGTTGATTTGTACGTGAGGCTGACAAAGTTTCGAACGAAAAATGTAAGATGAATAGAAAATCTCGCCTCATCCTTTCGCCACCTGATTCTAAAAAATGAAGTTACCCTCACAGCTAGCATATTTTTGAATTCATGATACTTCAGTACTCAAAATGGGATGATTTATTTACTTAGTGGAGAAATGGAGAAAACAGTGATGATTGCAATAGTTGTAAAGACATCATCGACAGCTGCTTGACAAAGAATGATACAATTGTAGATGCTAAATACCATCTCACATCTCAATAACTTATGAATTACTTTTCGGGAAGGTTTCTTCTCGGCTGTAAGTGCAAACAATTTTTTCATTATGCGCTTATCAATTATGAAATGAGACTCATATTAGTAACAATCAGCGTTTAACTAGCAGTGGTATATTTAAGCAAAATGAGCATATTTCGAATTTTTTCTGACCTATTGTTTTTATTATTTTAGCTTCATTTTATTTTTACAGTATGAAATATTTATATTTGCGTCAGTTTTTCGAGTTTTAATTTTTTTACATTTGATATTTACCTCTGTTTGTCATATTTCCTCAGATGTTTCGAACATGACAGATTGTCATTCACTAATATCTCTCACATTTTAATTTCGATTCTGTGTATCTTGAATTCTGCTTCGTCTAAAATGTTGAATCTACTAAATCAAATTGTGATATATATGCCATCTTAATAATAGATTTTTACTCATCACAGCTTTGTCCTTTTTAATTCGTAATGTTTGATCAGATCACTGGTCAAGATAGAATGAAATTAGCACAATGAGATTTCACAGTACTGTGGAAGTCGATTATCTGTTGAGTAGAGGTGACAAAATGAAGCAATATTAGGAAGTTTTTCCACCTTCTCGTTCTTCCAAACAATTTGTAGAGGAAGGCATCGGTGAAGTTTGAATTAGCAAACTGTCGAGCATCGAGCAGAAGCACCGTTTTCAGGTTTCTCCCATCCATCTCCCACTCATCTGGGTGACGCATATTGAACTACTCAACTCATTTTTGAAATATATTTCGTGCTAATTGAACTTTGACTGCATCTTCTGTTCGCTTCAGTTACTATGGATACATGTTCATGTGTCTGCAAAAATCCCAACCTAATATCTGTTCGTCGTCCTCATCAGATGGATGGATATGCTGCAATGCGCGTCTGTCTATCTGTCTACCCGTGCATTCAGCACATTTGTCATTTGACAGCAAACTCTGAGCATTAAGCTCTGTCACTGTCATCTCTGTCATTGTTGCTTTTGTTGTAGTTTCGATTAGCCATTGTTTGGAACGCCGGTGGTATTAATGTCTATTTCAATTCTTCCATTTCCAAACTAACTTTTTACAAACCTCAGTCTTCATTCTTCTGGTCTTGGCAAAACATTTTGGACGCTGTTTTTGCAGATGGTTCAGAGGATTAAAACATTTTTGGTACTATCGGTTTCCACTTCTTATCTTTATCGTCTTATTTGGATAGGAAAAGGAGCGTCTATCACATCATTTCATTATGATATAAGAGTGGCTACTTCTAGACAGATGTCTCAATGCAGAACGATGCTTGAAGCAAATCGGGAAGACAACGTCATTGACTGACTGAATAAGACGTATGGAAGCAACTGGGAAAGTTGTAAACTTTTTTTGGTAGACCCATTTGCAGCTTTGTGATAAAGGCTGTCAGCAAGGAAAGAAAGGCTATAGGAATTATTTTATTTGGAATTTTGATACTCTTGAAACTTTTTACTACACAAATCCAGAAGGAGAATAAATCTTTCCTCTCAGAAAAAGTGTCATCATTCTTACGAGGACTGTTGTGCTAACACAGCAACTAGTTCCTTTCTTTTTTGGTTAATTAATTATTTGAAGTTGATGCATATAAAGGATTGGGTCAAAAAATTGTTAGAAATTCGAAGGTGGACTCGAATGATATTAGATAGAAAGTTTATGTCTAATCATCTATAACCCTTCCCGTTTGGTCTTTCCTCTTATAATTGCTATCCTCATTTTCCGTGCCTTTTTATATTAGAGGTACTTAATCATTGTTGTTTAAAAAAAAATTTTTTTAATCTAAACTTCGCTAAAATTTTTTCTTAAAGTTGGAATAATTGAGGTCCACATTGGCATAGTGTTAAGCCCTTTCAAGATCCATATGATCAGTCGATATGCATTTAGACTACAACACTGAATAAACTTGGAAAAAAAAAAAAACAAAGTGTTGAAACGAATTAAAAAGCAAGAAGTTAAGTATTTGTGTAATTTTTTTCTTTGTGAAGACGTATTACTAACAACTTTTTCTTTAATTTTAGTTCACTTTTTTTATAATAATTTCAGTTTTTAGTATAATTTTAATAAAGCATTACAAATAACCTGTGACCTCTTGAAATTTCCTTGCTTAAGTTAAGATTATACAACTCATGTAAGCTAAGACTGCTTACAGTACAGTTTTTGGATTTCTGATTCCGACAATTGGATCAGTAAAATATTTGAACTTAAGTTACTTAGTGATCACTTTAACCTTTTGCCGATCTGCCCCGTCTGTTTCTTCATCAGGATAAAAGGATATTTGCATATTTGCTTACTGTTGCTAAATGGTGCTTTATTATATCATCCTTATCAGTTTTCTGACTTAGTTTTTTCTTCTAATCTCTAGTCAAAAGTGCGATTTCACTATTGTGTGTTTATTTCACGTCCATTGCCATATGTTTTTAATTATAGAAAACCACATGGCAGAATCATCAAATGAAAATTACAAAGTGCCAATTGGATTACGTCCATTATTAGAAGCATTTGTACGTGAAACACTGAGAACACAGCCAATTGATTTAGTCAGTTTTTCGATTCTGTCTTTCAATGTTTTGCAGAAACATCGCAAACGTAAGTTTGGGAACTTTTTAAATTCTTTCAGAATTTCCGCATACGTTTTTAATACTATATAAGTACAAATTACTACATTCCAAAAATTATGACCACTTAACATTCCTTTTGTCATTATATGCGAAAATATGTCACTGATTTGAGCGTGATACTAGTTTAAAAATACTTCTGAGTTAAGTTCGCTAAAGAACTAAAAATTTTACAATTTTCCAAATCCAGCAGTCATCCTCTCTTTTTATTTTTTTCATCAGTAGCTCCTTTGCCAACCGCTGCAACACATATGGTGTTGACACGAAAAGTATATACATTCATTCATCATCAAACAAGAATTGACAGCTCAAAACTTGAGAATAATAATACGGCCAAACTTGAGAAAAAAAGCTTGATTGGAAACAAATTTGATTAGCCGAAACATTTTGAACGAAACATTTCTAGCTGTTAGGTAAAGTAATCTATTTGATAAAAAAGCATCGAACTGAATTGATTTTTTTCCAGAAAATAATGCAGAAGATGTATTTAAGGATTCTGCTTTATATGAATCTTTCAAAATTGACTTACAAAAACAGGTTTGTGTCATTTTTTTGCATAGTTGCCAATTAAATTGATATCATATGTCTAAAAAGTGGGAGACTTTTTGACAGGAAGTGGAAGAAAAAGAATTTTTGATGAACCAAACCTGTCAAAGTGGAAAGCTTGAAGATATAAATTTTCAAATTTATTGGATTCCTTTTTGGCGGCAATTTAAATAAAATAAAATTCAGTATCACGAGAAGGATGAAATGACTGAACGATCATTAGAACCATTGGAGGAAGCAGCTACAAAAATTCAAGCCGCATATCGTGGGCATATTGTAAGTATTACTGACGAATTAATTTCATTTTTTTAGTTTCAAATTCATCTCTGTTTAATTCTACTATTTTTCTTTCAGCATTTTTTATTTAGGTTCGGGCCAATCCACAAAAGTTTATTCTCAGCGAGAAAAAAACTGATGTCACTTGTTCATCCACGGGTCGCATCAATTTACTAGATGCAGAAAAAAATTTGAAGTTGGTTTTGATTCTCTAATAGTATCTAGACAAATTTTCATGCAATTTCCTGAATCATTATTTTGCTGAGGAAGTAACGGATTCATGAAAGAGAAGGAGAGAGGGCTGTATATACTTAAAAGTTGGAGAAATGTATTCGAATATCAATGATTTTCTTCAAAATTGTATAAAAGAATTCAAAAAACGTGACCAATAAATTAATCAAAAATGATGAATATTTATATTAACAATTTAATGATTAGTATAGCAAAAAATAGAACAAAATTTTAATAATGAAGAATAAGTAAGATATGTTTTTACATATATTCTATATATCAATCTACCAGATACCATTCTGTTAATGTTGCTGGTTCTGTGGTACACAGCAATGTAATTGAAGATCGAGCAGCAACCATAATTCAGGCTGAAATTCGTGGTTTTCTAACTCGGCGGCATTTCAAACAAGAAAAGAAAGAAGGCAATGATGCAGCCAAAAAAATACAGGCACACATTAGGTCGTCAATTTTATTTGTCATACACTCATCTTTATTTGAAAATTTCTTTAATTCTATACCCACATAGTGCAATATGAGTTGATATACTTTCTGGAATGTTCACAGCTCAGTTAGTGCCATCCATCTATCCAAGCAATCCTTCGGAATTGCATTCTTGATTCAGTACATACTTTTTTTGATAATTACTTAGAGTAAATCTTAATATGAATACTACCAAAATATTTCGAGTGTTCTGTTTTTTTTTACTTTGCATCCTACTCACTTTTTTTTGTCTTTCTTGAACTTTAAGTTACATAGAACCACTTTACTATTCTATATAATTTAGAATACGTCTGAACAATAAGTTTCACTGCCTATCAAAAAGGCACGCACTGCACTTAAAGAAAATTTAATTATTAGATATCTTCAGGGGTTACTTAACAAGAAAACATCTTGATGAAGTGGGCATACCGCACAAACATTCTGCAGTCTCACATCTGCACAATGGTCTCTAAGAGGTCGGTCAAATTCTTTACAACTTTCAAATTTTTAATACTTTGCAATATAATACCAAGAAAATGTTTTGCATGAAATGGCAGTAATTTAATTATTATCCATGAGAGCGATGATATATTTGCAGCATGTTTAAAATATACAAATGAGTTTGAATAACAAGAAAAAAATCCATTGAAATGAACATGCACAATCTTCCTATCATGCTGGAATCACCGCCTGCTTTTTTTATCATTTTGATCAATAAGTATTTGGTCATCGTATTGTGTATTGTGTGAGCAACACCAGTGCTGTAGTCAGCATATTGTTGTATTAATTTGACTTCTATGGCTTACTTGACATTTTTTATGCACTTTTATGCTTCAAGGTCACCATTACGTATTTGTGAAACTGGAATTCTGAATTGCACTGTTCCTGTGAAAAGCAGTGGATGAAATCCCGATGGCTACGGGTTATATTTCTTCGTCATTTATTCCTGCATATATTTTATTTTTCGTGCTATATTTAAATGGTCGTGTGAAATGCTTTATTGCTACTTTTACAAAACTTTAAGTATCTTGTAAATAGGATGTTTCAGCAATTTTGTACTGTAAGAAAATTAGAAAATAATTATTTAAAACAGCTTTCAGCCTTTAAGCTCAAATCTTTCGAGCAGTTTACGTATGTCAACTTTTGTTGGCAATAAGTAAATTAATTAGAAATTCTTGGTGCATAAACTAAGTATTCCATGTCTTTTTATGGATGGGCTGTTGTACTGAAAACATTGAAGCTGGGAAGAAATGATTTTTTGGATGTGGGAATGGGTCAGAATTCCAATTAATAATATAACAGCTTATGATTGAGGGCGCTGTGCATAATAACACCGTATTTTAAAATATTAAGTTCGAATTGCACAGAGTAAAACGAAGATTACATAAAGTTTTTTGATGTTCACTTAAATACATTTCTAAATATATTTTCCTAACTAAAAAGAAGCCAAGAATTCTTTTCTGTCCATTTATGGAGATTAAAATGTAATGGTTCGTGACAAGTTGAGAGTTAATTGAATACTATCCTTTTTGAAATATTTATCACTTGAAATTAATGTTGAATTGATAGAAAGAAGTTACGTAAGGTTTTTAGCAATGTCCTTTCGAAACTTTGTCAGTCACATTATTCATGACTGCATTTTGTGGATATTCCAGAGCAGATTTTTAATTATGATCAATGTGGGAAAAAAAAAAACTTATTTCCGCTCTTGCTTCAATAGATAAATATGTTTCTGATGATTGAGAAAGTTATTTTTTTAACTGGATGATAAAATATAAGAAGAACGGAGTATCATTTTTGAAACGAATAAAAATTTGCTTGAAAATACTTTACCATGCAGACCAATATAATTGTAGAAGAAAAGGAACGAATACTATTAGGTTACTAAAACTAATGAGAACTTTTTTCATCGTCTATCATTTACAATTGTGAAAAAGCAATCAATCTTGTTGAACGGCCGCTACAGCCCACCTCTGTTTCTGCAAATATACAAAACTGATTCATTTCGTTAATATATTTTCCACAACGTTGTGTACATTGTATTTTGTATATAATGTTCATTTTATTCTCCAGGTTAACAATTGCTAATAGCACTAAGCAATTTTAAAAATGATTTTTACACAGTCTACGTTACACTACCAATACTTTTTGATTAAAAAAGTTAATGTCAATGATTATTAGCCAATCTTTTTTGGTTAAACATAATTTACAGCATTTCTGCTATTCATTTTACACGGACGGATTCATTAACTTATTGACAAATGAACAAGCGGAAGTATGCTACCATAAAAATACCTGAAAATTGGTGTTAGGAAATGAAATATATTTTAATATATTATAAATGCATTATAGTTTAAGCATTAAATATATTTTAAGAGGTAAATGAAATAGTTCCATAGCTTTCACTTAGTTTTACTGGCAACTCTTTCATTTTGTTGTTGATAGGAAAGCAAGAAGAAAGACAAATGCAACTTCTTACTTTCCTTTTTTAAAATTTTCTCAAACATACATTAGACCGCTGCAAAGTATACTGAATGTTTCGAATTGGCCTTCGGGATTCTTAAGACTGGCTGCTTTGAAGCGGAATGCTGAATTGAAATTTTACACTATTTGTTATTTCGAAGTATAAAAGAAATAATAATTGTAACTCGCTACTATCTTCTTAAAATTAGAGTTTTGGATTTCGAGTTAAATTGTTTGGTACAAGAAAAATGTAACAGGTAGAAATACAAAATACACCCTTGATTGTTTTAAGCAAAGGATGGTTTGGTAAATAACGGTGAACTTTGATCATGTTTTAAGTGAAAGTGGGGTTAGTAAACAATGGAAGAATGAAAGAGGATTAGAAAACAACGTAGAACTTTGATGTTTTATAGAGTTTTTTTTTCTTGTCAGCTGCAAGTTAAATTTATGATATAGCAGCTGTGATATTATAGCAGCAACTCAGTTTATTGTGCCACCCAGACGCTTTTTCTTTATTATTATTTATTTTATTTACCTATTTTTTGATTACATTATCTCCACATTATCCCAATACTTTTTTTATAAAATTAAAATTGAAAGTAGTTGTGGAAGTTATGGTATTGATACTCGATTCAGGTACTTTTTGTCTGTTCGCAGAAAATTCATTGCTTTGTTGCGTAGGAGGAGAACTTATCAGTTATACATTTGTCGTATAGGAATGAGAATGCTTGAAAAATACGAGAAAAAATCATATATATATATATATATATATATATATATATATATATATACGTGCATTATATCGAAAATAAGAGTTTCATATTATCTATTTCTAATTTAATTAAAAAATGTGCAACAAAATTTAAGTTCTGCATATAATATAAGCTTCTGATGCGAAGAATTAACTCACTACCTCTAATTATGCTACAAGTACTTTCCGAACTCATTGGAAGGAAACATACAACGTTATGTGTGCATGTGTACGTATGTATTTATGTGTGTGTCTGTTCGTTAGTGTGTATGTGTGTGTGTGTATGTGTTCCATTGAACATTACCCAGAATAAGAATGGTATTCATCGTTGATCAAGATACCCAAGAGTGGTACTTGTGAGTTTGTTGAACGCAGTCACTTTTCTATGAATCATCAGCAACTTATGAAATGAAGCAAATGAAGCATTCTTTCCATTGAACAAGAATGATGTCAGAAATGACATCATTCTTGTTCAGTGGTGAAATAAAATATTTCAAAAGTCTGATGACTATTAAACGTATGTAGTTCGCAACAATGTGAGTATTTGAACTCATTTGGGATTTCCTCTGGATTTATTAGCTCTAGCTTTCTCTTCTTTTTGCTGTTCGTTTTGAAATTTCTTATTGTAAATTTGTACTTCAATGTTCCTTTAAAAGCAAAGATTGAACAAAAGGCACAAAAAATGCGAGGTTTGTCATATTTTTCCATTATGGTGTATTTATGTCTTTCTAATGAATTAGTTATTGATGAGAAGCTAATGGAGAATTCAGGTCATTGCCATTCTCTAAATTTCAGTTTCGATTTGAATTTTCATTTACTTTTCTGGTCTACATGATTAATTAATTGATAAACTCAAAAAGATCTAACGATTGTCAGATGCGAATTCCTGATTATTTGGTTAATCACTAATCAAAGAGATCTTTCTGGATATTTTTTTTTTTTTTTTTTTGTATTTCTGATGTCTATTTACGTTTCAGATAGAAGTAGTTGTGTTAAAGAAATAAGATGTTGTCGAATAAGAATGTTGATCCTATTAAGAACACTCAAACCAGCAAAATTTCTGAATGAACCGAATGGAATTATGGCAACTGATATGATAGCTTTCTTTCATAAGTCCATTGACAGTATAGGTAGAAGAGTGCTTAAAAAAGTGATTTCCAAAATGATTTTTACAGGATAAAATAAATATTGCTAAATCATTTGAATTAAAAAATGATTTTTTGAAAATGACTAACAGTATGAATATTGCTGAAACATTAATCTATGACTTAGAATTTAAGGTAATGATTCTTTCAATTTTTATCAGGTATTTTCAACATTGAACGTTGACTGATTATTCCCCAATTATTTTTAAGTTGCTGAGTGGGTTTCTTTTCAAGTCCAGCGATCCATCTTTTAAAAACCATGTTTTTTGTTGATTGCCACTCATTGTAAACGTTCGTTTTATGGCAGAATATACATCTATTACTCTAACATCTATGGATTTAGTTAGCATAGTTGGTTTTGTAACTATTGTATTCCAGCTCGAAGAGGTCGAATAAAACTGGATAAATAGACGTGGAAATGAATCTCTCATTTTACAACCTTCCACTGACAGTGTTTTCAGACAAGATTACTGCACTAGGTCTGCATTTCTCTAACAGACTGAGATATTTATACAACATCAAAGAATGCGAAACTGATTTCCGACTGAAATTCCAAATGAAAGGGAGATAACATGACCGTATGGTGATTACTGAGATCCAGAAAATTAGGAGAAGGAAGAGTTAAACCAATGAGTAAACAAAAAAGAAAAGCAATTCTTAAGTGGCTCATGTATTTCTGTCATAGCCGAGGATATTAAATGGTGGAATGATTAGAATTAAGCAATTTTTGCGGTAGAACACTTATTACATCAACAAATTTTTGTCACCAAAGAAGTGGAAATGAAGCGATCAGTTATCGCTAGCCATTAATCAATGTTCGTGTTACATCTTTTGTTTTTAAATCAATACCACAATCCGCAGGAAATTTTTCGGAAAAATTAAATAAAAGAACTGAAACGACCACAGCCGTCTTGTTTGATAGTCACTGGGTATTCATTCCTCTTCCCAAATCCGCAGTAGTTTCGGGAATTCTATCATCTAACAAACAGCTACAAAGGGGAGGAGTACAACAATCCTGCCACTGTCAATGTTGTTTTCAACAACTTTGCTATATGTGTGTTTTCTCTAGGCGTCAAACGCATTATGGCTTTTATTGCTTTTGTTTTTAAAATGAACATGCAAATTTTTGATCACATTGCAGTCTAATTTAATCATCGGTTTTTTGCTCATAATTAAAATATAGGTTTGTTGTATAAACCTCACTCCAATCAATAAATGGTCTGAATAGTAAGACACTAGAATAACGATCCGAAATATTTGATAAATCGATCAAGAGATAGCAAAGAGCTTTTTAATAACTGATTTTCTACTCTTTTTATTCTCTCTTCCATTTGTTTTTTCTGCTGCTGAAGATTTCAAATCCTATGTCCAAAATATCTGATATTTATCTACACAAGTCGTAATCCTTTCTGGAGTGTATTGATTTTCTTTTTTTTTTTTCGACATTTCCATCACATTCCAGAACGATCACTTACTTATGAGTGATAGAGCGTTGAGATATTTGAATCTAAAAACAAGGAAAAAAGTGTTAGTGGCGTCAATCGCACATCTCCAATTCATCATTATCACCATTTCAAATACTGATTTTACTATGTTGGTACAGAAACTGCATCCTAATTTATGGTTAAACGATTCCTCAGACCAAGAGTGGACGATGAGCTGATTTGTACGAAGATGAGCCTAATTTGTGTAAAGTATTCTTCCTCCTCTACTTTTGTTCAGTGATACTCTCATGATAATTATTTTTTCATAACTGAAAAATTCTCGGATGCTTCTTGCCTTCTCTACCATCTTATCGCGATGTTCATCATCGATCTGTGCTTAGCAAAGAAGAGCTGTCAGGTGTTTCCACAATAATGCGCAGCTTGCATCCTTTAGTTTCCCTGACTCACTTTTTTTTTTTGGCTTTTTTTGATATTTTCGATATGTTTGCTCTTTCCTCTGTGATTCCCTACTTCAAAACATTTTTGAAACGAACGTTTCATCATATTATATCCGTATATGGGGTTATCAGATAGGTTATTGGAAATAAATCCAAAAATTGTGTGAAATCGAAAATTTTCTTTTTTTGCTGCATCGTTTAAGGCTCGTATGTAATGTTTGTTTCAAATATTCAGTGATAAAAAGCATCCTCTTTTCTCATAAGATTTTTGAAAATGTTTTGGCACAGCAAAAAATGTTACACAGATGGAAAAAGACAATGTAATATTTAAAGGTTAGCAATACAAAACAGTTAGGACAGATTCAACCGCAGTACTAGTAACTCTTAATTTTTTTTAAAATAAATTCTTCTCTCAGCCATCTTGTATGCCAATCATGCTTTTTCGATACTTTTTTTTTATATGCTTAGCAACGAAAATGGCAGTAAGCAGGAAATCAGCGAGAAAGTTAATATAATAAGTGTTTTCACTTGTTTATAATAAGTGCATTCAAGTTTATATATATATATATTTATTTATTTATTTATAGTTTCCTTCCGTTTTCTCAATCACAGAAATTGAAAACAGTTTTTATTACAAATGAAAACATCGTTTCTCTCCTACGGTTATAGTTCGGTTTCTCTCACAATCGAAGATTTGATACCGACCATCAATTACACGACGATGTACGCTTGGTAAGCATGAAAAAAAGAACACACACACACAAATGACATCAGTTGCCTTTCTCTACTTGAAACTTACTCATTTTTTTATTTAAAAAATGAAACTTTTTATTTAAAAGTTGTTCTAACTTTCATTTTCGATAGTTAAAGTAACTGGAAATCACTAGGTTATAAGTTCCACTCATATTTTTTGTGTGCTGATGAGTTTTGTCCAATTTAGAAGTTGCTATATAAAATTCCGACAAGCAATGCATTATTTAGTGGTATGGACTTGATATCGGTCTTGAAAGATTGCACAGATCAAATTGATAAATATGCGATCAAAGTCTTAATTTTAGTTATCGAACTGCTAGACTTTTTGAAAAGCGAATTGTATACACTTGTTTGCTTTTTTGAGAGCAAAATTTCAATCTTAAATTTTTCATACTCATAAAATTTTCAAAAATAATCGTTCTGAATTGCTTCTTCTGCGAATGGCTTTTTTATCATTAAATTTACTTGTTGATTTCATTTGCAATTTACTCTGTTATTTTCAAAATGATGGGAAATGACTTTTTCCACCTTTTTTTTTCATTGTAATAAATTTTTCTTCAGCAGTAAGCAAAAAAAAAAAAAAAATAGATTTCTTTCTTTCATTTTAGTTACAAATGCAAAGGCTGGTGCCAGCGTCTTTGAAAAATTTTTTTGTAGTTCAGTTTTTTCGATACCTGAGTTTCAACAATAATTACACTTACTATCCTTTGTATGCGACGTCTTTCTCATTTTATGATTTTTTCCAACAATCTTTTGACATATTGCTTTTTTAAATTCTCTTTTATCATTTTCATTTCGCAAACTTATTGCTTATAGAGCTGCGCTTAATAGAGTAACATTTTGACTCATTCTTAAAGAGTCTCTGCATTAAAAATTTCCATCATATCATTTAGTAACTCTAAAAATATCAAGCAAATACTGCACATGTAATCTTTTATGATATGCTTAAGTTGAGATTGAGACGTTACAACCGTCACCGAAACTTTTTTGATGAATCAGCAAAATAAACCCCGTAATCCTGAAAATTATTCATTGAGTATCTCAATAAAATTATTTAAATTCCATCTACTTATAAAGCTATGCCTGACTAATCAATACTTGACAATAGATTTTAAATCTCAGCGATCTATTCCACAAATTACTTTTCAGATATCTTTTTAAATATCTTTGTCCTTATTTGTGTTGTATACTGTACATTTTCAAAGTATTATCTCAAGTTCTATACCACAAATTGTTAGTTCGCATTTTTAAATTAAAATTTTAAAGTAAAAGTTGGTCATTTCTGCATTGAAACTGCTTCCATAAAACCATTTGAGCGGATTCGATTCTTTTAGCCCAATAAAAAGCATAGTAACTCGGAAGATTGTTTTGTGAATGTTTAAATTATATGACAGATTTTTACAAAAAGAATTAAATTTTTTCTAATTTGATTTTTTTGTTTGATTTTACAATATTTCATTTCAAACACTTCGAAATCCTTACGTGATTTACAGTTTGTAGATTATGTAAATTAAGCACATATTTATCATTAATATGGTCATTTGCCGTTTGATGAAGAGCAGTATGATCTTAAATGTAGAAAGAACTCTGTGCGGTGTTTTTTTTTTTTTTTTTTTCATCTAATTAGACTGAGTAATTACTACTAACAAATGATGCCCTTATTATTCAAATAAGTCAGAGAATACATCTTAAAGAAAGTGTCTAAATTTAGAAAACGAAGTCTATAGCTAAAGTTGATGCTAGCTGATTGGTAGTTAAATAAAGGTAAAGGTCCGTGACATAACGAGTTTTGCAATGTTAGAAGATCCTTACTGAAATATGGTAAATATGATGATTAGTTGCTTTTTAATACTTTTTTTTCCAAGCAAAACACTTATTGGAGCATCAATTATTGAAATTTTATAACAATGCTTTAGTCAAATTTCAAGAATTTCACTTTTTTGTTTTGATGCAAAACTTTCTGGGTGAATTTTTCCTTAAGACGTGAACTTTTTTCATCAGAAAAATTTTTTTTCCTGATTAAACACTTCCGCAGTTTAAGAAGAAATATATTATATTAGAGTGCATTTCACATCACTGTTCCAAAAAGCTAGAACAACCGCTTTTGTTTTTTTCTAACCTTGAGATTTAAAACTTCACCTACGATTAAGACGAAGAAGATGGAGGAAAAGAAACTGCAGCTTACTTATAGGAGGTGCATCTGAAGGACCTACACAACGAACTCCATCAATTACTCGTGAGTTCCGAACATAGCGAACAACTCTTGCTCTACTTCTTTCATCTATTCCATCTAATCTTGTTGCCCCTTCGCTCATTTCTTCAATTATCAACCATTATTACCTATTTCTCAGTCTTCATCGGATATATTTTAGTCATTTTAATTTGATGTTTCTTCTTGCTTGATTATTTTTAGCCAATTTCTGTCCTTAATCAGTGCTGTTCTCTTATTCAGATAATATTAGCTTGTGTTTTTCTGTTCTTCCAGATTTTTGCATTTCAATAAATATGATCACTTCTAGGCTTCCACTTAAAAATGTCTTTCACAGTGTCAATTTTCCGAAGTTGAATGCACACACATGCTACTTAATTAAATTAGGATTAATGTTTTTCCTAATTTTTATACGAAGGATTGAAAATGATCAAGTAAGCTTACAAAGAGGTTATTGAAAGTTTTACAAACCTGAAACAGCCACTTTGTCTATAATATGCTTCTTTCATATGAGTTTTAGTTGTCATATATCAGTATGAAATAGGAAGCTGGGAATCAAAATTCTCCTTTATGTTTATTACTTATGAGAGAAATAAAAATTTCCCAGAAGATTTTTGAATTGTAAAATAACACGTGATACAAAATACAGTAACTCGCAACTAATAAAAATATTCTGTTCCTTCCAAATTCGCAAAAAAAATAGAATCGATTGCTGTTAACTAAAGACATGCATCTGAATTTCTAGTTTTAACAGGTAATTGTAGACTGGTTAGGGTCTGTGTTTTTCTTTACATTTCTTTCAGAAACCCTTACATTTGTGGGAGTTCTAGTTGTTATGTATCAGTAAAAAGATTATTTGAAAAATTTAACTGACCAAACTGAGGATCAAAATTATATCCTGCTAACTTCAAGAGCTTTCTTGAACAGACCGCATACAATTAGTTTATAATATTGTTAGTTAAGGTCATAAATTCTCCATCATATTCAACATTTGTTTTCAATAGTCTTCATAGAACATAAGAAAGTTGAGAATGGATGATTTTTAAGAAACATTTATATATGAAGGAAATAAGTTTTTCTTCCATATGATTGCCTTATAGGCATATTTTACTTTGATAACATTCCTGTTCACACCATCTGCATTAACTTTCACAAAAAATTTTTTGACAGCTGTCAAATCTTTCTTGTTAATCTACCCATCGTTCACAGGTCGAATCAATTTATCTGAACAGTGTAACAAATGACATAGCCCAGTTTTCATACTTGGAAAAGAAATAGTATAGGCAAAAATGTAATTAATAAGTTGGAACAAAATTATAGTACTTTAATACCATTGTACACGATCACGTACATAGATATAAAATAACTCATTTTTGAGTGGATCGCTTTGCTATTAAAAAGTATTTTGTTTACTCGTAGATATTTCTTCGTCAATTGATTTTTACATTTATTGCATAATTACATTTTTCCTTAAAATTGGGTATCCCTTTAAACTTAATTAACACATAGACACAGTGGACGATGACAATGTGACATAGCCAAACAATTTCATTTCAGACATTTCTGTATTCTGAACTTCTAATGGTAATTTACATCGATATTTGTTCTGCTGTTTAAAACAATGCAGTTTTTAGCAGAACCACTTAAATAATTATTATTTCGTTAAATAAGCCAAAATATTTTGTGACAAAATTAGTAATGTTAAAGGAAACTGATATTACTTCCTACTTTTACCTCCCCATAGTTTAATTTTTTGTCTGAACCCCTGTTTCTTAGCTGCATCTGCAGTTAATTATAAATTTTAATTTCATTGAGTTGGAATAACCATATTTGAAGGAAATAGGAAAATTTAACTTTAATCTTAAAATATTATCTTGCTTCAAATTTATTAAAGCTATTTCTTTGCGAAATGACAAGAAGATAGAAATTATTTATAATTCATTCAGAAATTTCAAGGATACTTTCTATTACTCCTACAAGTAAAGCATTTGAGAAGAGTAGAATTTTTTTCTTTTCTAACGTTGTATACTCTCACAACATTCGTTATAGCAATCCGATTGTATGAAATGAATTAATTGATTTAGCCAACATCATTATATAATCAAAATCCACTTGGTATTTTAGTATAAAGTTGTTAAATTAGAAGTAGTTCAAATAATAGAGGCTATCAAGCTCTTTCGTTTAATTCGAAGTTATCGATATCTCCAACCGACCATTATTCTTGAACAAATAAGCAGCACAAATCTGTTTGAATTGTCGGAAGCACTTCCACTTATATTTGACGCTATCTGTCGCTTACTACAATATGCTCTCTCAGTCTATTGTCTCTGATTAAACTAGATTTTATGAAGCATGAAATTACGATAATATATGACAGGAAAGTTTATAACTAATGTTTGATAACGGCACTTTGAATACAGTTATGTATTTGAATGAAAGTATTAGTTTTTTTAACGCTCTCATTCATAAATTGTCAAAAACACATAATCAGCAGGGCAGTTTTATTTTACTGAAACAGTCCCATAAATGTTTCCATGAAAGAAATTATCAAACAATTTAGTTGAGACTAAAGGAAATTGATTAAATATAAGTTTTCTTGCTTCTATCGTAACTTTAGTCTCTTAAAAATTGAATTTTTCTCCACTGTAATGCGATTTTACTTTTCTATCTTCATTGTACAAGGAACATGAGTGAGAGATTGAGGCAAATAAATATAAAAATGACCTTGCAATTTAAATAACAAGATTATGCGTTTAGTTTCGTTATTCCGTTTATTCTGCTTAATCTATTCGTATTTCAAGTTGTCGATTACGACAAAGCCATTTTAGCTTCTGGATTATGCTTTAATTAAAAAGGAAACAATTGCTCTGTTAAAAAAATTACTTGTTTTTGAGGAAGAAATAAAATCAACACTTTTTGACATGAATCTTTGCCACAGTAGAGAGGTAGTACTATAATCAAAATCAACTATTATTGCCCTTCAAACCACTAAATCATTTCACATTTGTTTTCCCTCTCTTTTTTTAAATTTTATCTCAAACTGATAATCACTAAACCGCTAAATCCTGCCAGAAGATTTTTGCAGAATTTAAATTGTGCTGGGAAATTAATTTTACAAATAATCCTCTATGTTTTTTTTTTTTTTTTTTTTTTGAGATGCAATCAAACGGAGCGTATTTATTGTGACAGTTACTGAGCTTCCTGTATATCCGTCCTGGTTAACAGCAATTTTTGGAAATATTCTTTCTTCATACCCATTTGAAGTATTTTGAAATTAGTTATCGTTTTTCGAACCGTCATTTTCAATATTATGGTCATATGTTTTTCCCAAAAATTGGAATGATCCAAATTCAAGATTCAAATAAATTTTGCTTTCAAAGCTGAGATCCTTATTCATTAAACAAATAGTATCCAGAATTTTTCTGAAATCGTGAATTTTATCTATTCAGTTTTCTTAACACTTCCTTTTTTGCTAAAATGCGAAATTTTTTTGTCTTTGATGTAGTTAATATATTAAACCTAGTGGGATCAATAATGAGATGCAATCGGAAGAGGAAACTTAAAATAGTTTTCTTTTAGTTATCGAAATGCAATGCGCAGTAAGATCAGATTTGTCCAAGGATTGGTTGCGAGGTAAATTTCTGTTCATTCTTGAAAATAGATCGTAACACTCTGCTTTTATGCGATTATAATACTAAAATCCGAAAATTAAAAAGAAAGAATTAACAAGTTCAGAATTGAGTGTAATTGAGAATGACATACTTACTTAACCGCTTCGTTTTAATCATGATTTAGTCTTCGAAATTCTTAAATTCAAATTGATTTTCTAACCTTCTAGTTATACTTCCTTAGGAAAAATTTTTTCTCTCTCAAAACGCAATCCCTTTATATTTTGATTACACAACAACGCCACAAGTTTCACTTTTAGTTTCTTTCATTTTACTGCTAGTTAATATTTTTCTCATTTCAAATTCAATTAAGTGAAAAAATCTCACTTCAAATTCAATTAAGTAATTCACTCCCATTGATAATTGGAGCCAAACAGATCTAGATCCATAATTTGACCTCCTTTTGTGCGGAATGTGAAGACTGAGATGAAGCAAATGTTTGAATGATGATTACAGGTAGCAAAACATACAAATATGGATACTAACAGATACAAAGTATAAAATGTTGTTTTGTGGATTATTTTAGCTGCAAATAATGAATGGCTGCATATAGGGCAGAACAAATGAAATTCTGAGAGCTGTGAAATTCAAAATGAAATCAGAAAACTTTGAATTGAAACAACGGCGTTTTTAATATATTATGGTTTACTACATACTATTAGCAGTTATTGTTATTCAGTTATAATTTAAAAGAAAAAAAAAATTTTTTTTAGATGATTTGCGATCTGTTGGTTCTGATCCATCATCATCTATATTATGTCCAACCATATGCCGCCGTGCTGCATCCTTTCCAATTGTCAGCCGACATCATCCGATGTCATCGTTATTGAGAGTAAGTAGATGTTTTTGATATCTGCTACGGAAATCAGCAAGTTAGGGTATTTTAACCAATTATTGGTAGTTTAAATATTGTCTTCAAGATTGCCGGTTATCGCAACAGCAACTCCTTTTACCCATTCCTATGCTAGTAAAACTGCTGACGCTTGAAATATCGGATCTTCAGTATTGTCAACGAAAACTCGTACGATTTTCTCATGTTTTTGAGAATTTGCCATATCCACTTCACATTAAACTATTCTCATTTCTATCAAGAAAATTCCATAAATTATTTACAGGTGCGCTCACAGAGCGAATCAGATGCGCTCAATCGATTAGGTGTTATCAATTCACGAACTACACTTACAGAACAGTTGAAAAAACGTCAGCTTATACCAATTACAGTTGAAAAATCACTGGACAATGCTGGTAAACTACTTTATCATTAATTTTGGAAGTGCTTGAAGTTTGGAATATATTAAAACCGAAAACAAAAATTCTACTTAATATAACTTCCTGAGCAAATAAAAAAAATTCATGTATTCTTTGTGTATGTTATCATTTTGAATTTTAGAATCAATATCGCAAGGAGAATCAAATGCTAATTTGGACTACAAGAATTTTGTTGACAGTAATGTCGATGACTTCGATCAGTTGGCAGTGATTGTTGAAAATGTAGTTGCTCAAACAGAGAAGGTTGCTATTAGCTCATATAAAAGTGTACGTTTTGCCGATGACTGCGGTAAAGATCTGACCACAGTGCGTATAATATCGGAACCTTCAGATTATCCACCGACCATTAGCGCATCAGTATGTTTTCTTCATTTATATACTCACTGCTCCATTCATCCATTCAAATCATAAATTTGAAAACAATTTTTGGTTAACCAAGAAATTCGTAGCTTATTTCAGGTGATAATTAATCATTAATTTATTGGAAAGACGTGCACTAGCTATTATCTTACTAATGAATTATGTAAATACTACGTAATTTTTTTTATGTACTACAAATTCGTTGATTTTATAAGGACAGCAGTGATTAGGAAAAGTTATGTGGTACTACTCTGCTTTTTGATTTTGTGCTGAAGTAATTTCGGAGAGAGGATAATGAATGAGAATGAAGGCCTACGTATTCTTTTTCAGTGTTTACTCAGTCAATAATTTCACAAATTCATGTTTAGGTAATTCGTCGATTACTAGGAGAAACAGATGAGAACAAAAAGTCCAGTCAGGTATCCGGTTCATGGGTGATATCGTTCAAGCAACCGGCTAGTGAATACGTTAAGTTTCGTGAAACCTTGGAAAGGGGGTTTGTTGCGCTAGAAAATGTTGTTCTTAAAAATGAGATATGCCATATGGTTGGCACCATTAAGGTTCCTTTCCAGTTCTTTTCTGAATTGTTATCTCTTTCCACTGATATTGGTCTTTAAAAAAAAATGTAGTTATTTAATTTAATTAAAGAAACAGGCAAAATTTTTTGACTGTCCTACTGTCTTCGTGTGACTTCAATAAAAACTTTTAATCGGAAATACTGTTTTGTATTTGTTTAATTTAGGTCAAAAATATAACATATGAGAAGAAAGTATTTGTACGTTTCACATCGGATGGATGGAAAAGTTTTCTGGACCGTATGGCAATTTATCAGCCCTCATCATCCAAATTTTATGATACGTTTAGTTTTGATGTTGAATTGCCCACCAATGGCTATAATCCGAATGCACGAATTGAATTCTGCATTTGCTTTGAAATTGGCTCTTCTCAAGGTAACAAAATTTACTATAAATTTTCTATACAACTTGGTAAAAATCGAGTATGATAAAAGTTTAAATGAAGCAATATCCTTTGAAAAACTTCTATAATTTAAATCATATCTTCGCTGCTTAATATTTCATGCTTCAAATATTTCTAAAACAAGATAGCATAAAGTATAAAATGCATTTTATTAAAATTTACTGAATAGCAATCAGCATAACTTCTGCACGAAACATCATTCACAAACCATAAAAATGTGTTCGTGAAACCATTATTATGTTATAGAAGTACAGCTTATACAGTAATACAGTACTTATACAGTAATGCCTTAACCAGTCACATCCTTTGAGTACTTTTAATAAAATTACAGGTGACACAAATCAGCAGCAATTTTGGGATTCAAATAATGGTCGAAATTATGTGTTAATAAGCCAGGAAGCGCAAACTCCCATTTCTCCATTACCCGTATCATTATCATTTGGGAAACATGATCCCAATGATGCATATACATATGAATTTGACGATTGGACTAAATTTGCAGCTTGGAAAAATTTACCCACGGACAGTCCATACTGGTAGAATTTTATGAAAGAAAAGCAACATCTGCAATCAACATTTCCAAAAACGAATATAAGAAAATTTGCCGAAATATGATTGTTCTTTTCATTTACCTTTTGCAAACACTGTTTATAATTAATAATGTCTGCATAGGTCTACAGATCCTTCTATTATGACGAATCTTTTCAAATAAACTCCAGCGATTCCTTAAAAAAATTTATGATACACTTTATTCGATATAGGTTACTTCCAGGAAATTATTAGTGGACTCAAGACATCTCACAACTGATCAATTTATATTTCTGAATTTCTTTTCATCTTTCTAGTCTACCGAATAAAATATCTGTTCTAGTGAATAAATTTCAATTGATGCAGGGTTATACTGGTGTAAATGTTATTTATTTTTCGCTTTTCAATAATAATAGTGATAATAGTGGTAATAGATGATAATTTGCTATTGTTTTCCCTTTATTAACTGTACAGCTCATATCATTGTTATTAGAGTAACATTACCGTTTCGTTCTCGATTCTGACGACTAGCATTTATGTCACTTAAAAGAACTTTAATTCAGAACGAAAGGAAGAAATAGAATGAATTACGGCACCGAATTCATTTCGGTTTTTAATTACTGACATTTTTTATGAAAAATTCTGGTCCAGTTTGATAGCTTGGATTTCTTTTTATGCCTATTTCTTACGGGTTAGGAAGATGGAGGACACATTAGATCTCCAAACTTCTAATGTGCTGCTGATAGTGCAACTTTGCTTTAGCATGTAATTATTAATTATAATAGTGTCTCATCCTATTGTAGCTTAGATTTTCTCATTGTTCTAATGAACACGCAGATACTTTTCTATCTACTAATGCTTTTTATAATCTTTATGCTAATATAATATGCCTTTTCCCATAATATGCTTTTCTAAGCCAAAAAAGCCCATCCAAGCCAATGAGACATTTTTGTTCCAGTGTGCTTGATGGAAAATACTCCACTTTAATCAGTGTGTTTGTGTTCATATATTGTCTAGTGTTTATGTGTTATCATAAATAGGTCCAAACTTTATAAACACTACTGGAATAATTTTCATTAGACATGTAAAGTGGTCTTTTGAGCATGAATACAATATCCAGCATCAGCGTCCTATTCAACTTGTTACATTCTCATGGACCATCTAACTCATCACCCGTTGTCTTGTCAATAAACTATAAAATCCCATTGGAAAATGTCCATTAGGAAAGTATGTTAAGAAAGTTTAGATGCTATTAAGCTAATAAATTAAGATTATAAAAGTTAATTATTATTATATTTCTACTTTAATTTCTAAAATAGAGCTCTTTGTCCGTTGCCTCACATTGGAAAACTAATCATTTGTTTCAAGAGAGTATGAAAATCCTACACTTTGCTGCCTGTAATTTGTTATTACTCATATCCTCTTCCCAATATTCTCAAATGTACTTCTGGCTTCACCTGTGTTTGTTCACCTATTTTAGTAATGGAGATAAACTGGCATTTCACACAAAGTCAAACATGCGTTGAAATATAGAAAAGAACAATGAAAACTATGTGGGGATTCTGCTATCAATGTTAAGATTTAAGTAATAGATTTACAATTAAATGTTGCGTCTTTTAACACTAGCTCCGTCCCTAAATGTGTCTCACAATCTATAAATTTAAATTTTTGTAATTCAAGGATATTACTGCAGATTCCTTTTTTGCATTATCAGTTTTTGGAGGTTCATGTATCCTAGTTGAAAAAAAAGGTATATGTATTCATTTTTAAAAGATAAACTTTTTGCTGAAAATGGTCCAGATCATTGTCTTCAACAATTCTAGTGCTAAAGAAAACACATTAGTTATGGATTTCCAAAAATTGAGCTAAAAGCTCACAAAAATTCATGTGAAGCGCTTACATGATGATATTATCTTATTATCGCCTGTTCAATATTTTATAAGCTTTAGATTTTTCCTCATCTCTATTAACCAGAAATCTAAAAACCCAGTTACATTTGTCATGCTGAACATCTTCGACAGAATTATTCATTTTTTTTCCGTGCAGGATTACATGGCTTGCAAATCTCTCTCAATAAATTTATTTGGCTTACAACAGCATCAATAAAAGTGGTGTTTTTCTTTTTACTTCTTTTTTCAACTTAACAAAAACTTAAGCAATGAATTTGCGACTTTTTTGATGTAAATTTCAATCGGAATTTGACGGGCAACGCCTGTTTCACCTTGAAGTGCAATTTAAAATTCTCAATTTTAAGCCTGAAATGAAATATATTCAGATCGGATTCACTAGGGAAATCAATGATAGATATTATAAGAATGATTATGATTCCAGCCATATTCGTCGATTACATTTCACTGTGTAATCATTAAAATGAAGATGAGAATAAGGATTATTGCAAGGTTTTGCAAATGCGCACACATTGATGAAATTGCTAAAAAGCAAATAGTATAAAATAAAAATCGGACAAAATTTTAAAACACATCAGCTTTATGGATTTGTTGAGTGATTGGCATCTTTAGCAAAAATGTGTAATGAATGTACTTGTAGCCTTCTCAATGCCAGCAAATATTAAATGCCTCTTGGGTACCACCGGTTTTATTTTTTTCCGAATTTTTGCCATTACTTCCATTTTTTAATTAATAGCATACCAAAATATGGTCTTCTAATTTTTTACAAAAGTTTATATTGATTTTCGGAAATACGTGTTTAAGTTTGTTGTAGTTTAAAATGTATAGGTTTCAAATTTTGAATTCAGCACACTTATTAAATAAAATAAACGCTTGGTTCTGATTAGCTATTCCTTGGCTTATCGTTGGAAAAAACATCTGAAAATATGTTTTATAAATAAAATATAAAAAAGAAAACCAAAATTGTGTGGAAATGAGATAAGCAAAATCAACTTAAGAAGCAATTGACTGCTAATAATATCTTTATATTTGCATGCCAAACGACACATGATTGTTAATTAAAGTTACTCCATAATACCTCTGTTCTATTTTTATCTTTCAGAGGTCTCATTGAGTCATTGAGTCATGCTTTGTCAATTTCTTCAATTTTATCTTTTGTTATACCTAAGCTTTTGTCTTTGATGTAATATTTATTATCTCTATTTATTGATTACTTAACATTATCTAATGCTTTCCTGCTAAATTAGTGTAAAAATGAAGTACAAAAGTTGCAAAACTAAAATTAATATGAAACTTTTTTAAATAAATTATTTGTGTGATTATCTCACTGTAGCAATAAATTTATTTTGTATGATATTTCAAAAAAAATCATTGTTTGTACTATTTGTCTGTTCAAAAGAGGAAGCATCACGAAATAATCATAAGAGACTTGTGTTTGAAGTGACAACACTGCTAGTTTAACTTCCTTGACCTGATGATGATTAAGCATTAATCGAAGGTTTTTATCTTTATCTTGTTCAGCTTTTTTTCCTTTTTTTTTATTTTATTTTATCATTCGTTAATTTTTTTATTTTATCGTTCTGTTTCCTCATGAATCAAACGTTGCATGAATAGTATTTAGTGAAATTTTGTTTTTCAGCATCCTTTTGATTCTATGACTTGTTTTTAAAATACATAGCGAGAAATATTTCAGTTGCAACGTTTTCTTTTTTTGATGAGATAGTTTTTACTAATAATTTGTTTTTTTTATTGAAACTTAACAATGATAAGGATAAGTTAGTTAACAATGACAAGTTTATTATCCGCATTGCATATTTTTTATTATTTTTTTTTTATCGATCGTTTTTTTTAATTCATATTTCTCCTTTACTTTCTAGTTAGCAGTAAACTTTTCTAGTGAGTATTATAATAATTCAAAAATTAGTTTTTTGATTAGTGCACAGACATTGCTTAATTACTTTTTTTTTTAATAATTTAAAGCTTTTATTCTTCATGGATAACATTTTCAACCAATATTTTATGATATATGTCAAATACTTTCCTAAAAAAAAGAATTTTAGAGAATTCACTAAATGAGTTGACATTAAAGTTATTGGGGTTCCAAGAATGATCAGCAAAAATTACACTTTACAAAATATAACAGTTGATAATAGTCCGGCTTTCATGATTTTTTCATCTTGTAACTATGATAATACGGTAGTGTGATTTGCAATGGAATTAAATTTCTCACTCATTCAACAAATGAAATTTGCTATAACATAAATAGGTTCTATTCTCCATACAAGAATCCAATTTTATATAACGAATTTTTCGTTTATTTATTTTATTTTATTTTATTTTATTTTTTTTTTTTTTTTTTGCATTTCTGGGATCTTAGAGATAGCATCCACTTAATTTCTGTGTCTCAGCACAGTTTAAAAATATTACTGCAATCTTCGCTCTATTTTTCATATTAAAGTTTCAAATCCCAATTAACGAATAATTGTGAGAGTATAGGGTGATATTTCATGATCATCCATTTTTTTTTTTACCACTTTATTAAATTCTCTGCTTTTGAAAAGTTAATACTGTTTATTAGTTAATACTTAATTCACCTAAAAATAGCGTATATTATTTTCTAATTCGTTTGAATAAAAATTATTTTTGAAATATTTTGAAATCAAATTTGCTATAAATCTATAACATAATTCATTTTATTTTGTTCTCATGAAATTTTATAGGATCGAAACCGTTCAGGGGATGATTTCCTTTTAACACATTAAAATATTTATAAAATTTTAGTGCCGAATGAAAAGCACCTCAATTCAACAATCACAGCTTTCAAGATTTCGTTAACTCTCATAACTAAAAATATGATTTTCATGCAAGCAAGTTGGAGTTTAAAAATCGTTTTTCAGTACAACTGAATTCCTATAATTAAACAAATTTGTTCATTCGTCTGGTTTTTCACACAATTTTTGCATTAATTTATAAAATCTTTGTAAGATTAAGGGACGAAAAATCGTTGAATAATTTTGCGAAAATGTAACAAGCTTAAAACTATCAATCGTTAATGAAACTAATCAAAAAACTAATCATTTGGTAAAGTTGTAAGCTTTTTTTTGG